CTGGGGGCTGTCCTGCTCCGCCATCTGCATGTATGTACCCTTCTGTGTTCGCATGCACCTGCCTGGTGGTGATGGTGGTGTGGGGAGCGCTTGCGGGTCCTTCGCAGGACTTGCTGCCGCCCCTTCCCTTCGCCCTGTGCTTGGGGTGTCCGCCGGGCGGATGGAGCGGCAGAGCGGGGCTGCTCCCCCTCCTTCTCCCGCTGGGGCGCTCGGGGGAGACCCCTTTCCACACTTCCTCCTTCGCTTCCCGGGAGAGGGAGCCCGCGGGGGGTTCGGCAGAGTTTGCAGTTTTCCGTCCCTCTTCCTTCCCCCCGCTACCACGCTCCGATGCGCCAGGCAGCTCCGCGGACCGGCGCTCTCCCTCCTCCCTCTCCCTCAGCTCTCGCCCTCTGCTGCCCGGCAGAGCTGGCGCGGCCGGTGCTTTATCTCCCCGCTTCTCTAACTCAATAGCCATGGCCGGGGTGGTGAGATACCCGGGAAGGTCCCGGCTAACTCAGGACGGTTTCCGAGGAGGCAGCGGATCCCCCGTTCCCGGGCTTGGGGGGGTCTCGGCTGCGCAATGGCAGGGGGGCGGCGAAATGGCAGGGCCCCGGCGAGCCGGAGGAGACGGCCGTTAACGGCGGCGAGTGACGGGGGGGTTGCTGGAGCGTTTCAATGGGAATAAGGTGGAAAACCCCCCTGTTTAGCAGATCTGCCCCAACCTTTTCCTTCTTGTTGTCTCTTAATCGTTCTCCCGTGCTTTGAAGAACAACCTTTTAAACGCGACGCCGCTGCCGCGGTAAGTGCTTTTGCACCTCCCGGCAGGATGGGGTCTGGCCTGATCCCCTCAGAAGTCTGGCGCTCTCCATGCCCTGATCCTGCACCATCCAACCCTTCAGCAACTGTGTGAAGAGCCTTTGCCGGGGCATTGAAGTGTAACCGTTTTCCTGGTTTGCGGTTGGAAATATACTTTGTATGTGTTTTGGGAGCATCTGGATACATACAGAAACTTCTTGGTTTATTTAAGATGTGATTCTTCTGAATCCTCAGTAGAATGCTCCTCAGCACCTGAGGGGTGCCAGGTAACTTAGGTACCCATCGCCTTCACCATGTAGCAGGGCTGTTCCTGTCAGTCTGCAGGGGGAAAGGTTCGGGTCACAACGGCGCTGGAAAGTTTCATAGGCTTCAATCTATCTAGTTATTCCCTGTCATAACGTTGGCTCAAACTGGATTATCCCTCAGTTAAATTTGTTTAGTTTGTGTGGTAAATTATTGAACAAATCTAAAGTGACCACCTGGGGGTTAAATAATTTATGTGCATCTACACATGGGTTTCTGCTGGTTTAACTATCTGCTTTTTTAAAAGCTGGAGCGCTTCTCGTTCATGCATGGCCTTGATGTATGCAGTTTGATATAGTGAAATGCTTGAATAATCGTCTATGTATTGCCGAGCTGTAGCTGAGCTGCTGGTGCCTGTGCTAAGAGGAGTGGTTACAAGACCAGCAGAGAAAGATAAAAGCAGAACCAGCCAACTCAAACCCATGATAATTATTAATTTGACACAATTCTGTGCATACTCGCTGCTAATTGAATCATGTTGCTACTTTTTATTTATTTTTTATTTTTTTTTTTCCTCCTTGAGTTCTTTCAGGCTGTATTTTTTTTTTTTTTTTTTTTTTATGGATTCAGATAGCACAGTGAGAAGCCCTGATCACAACATCCTGATTTTATTGCAGCAAATGTAAAAATGATGCCCACATTTTCTGGCGAGGCAGGCAGTTCATTTTCCTGGCATTATCAGATGATATTTTTGCTCTCCTGATTGCCCTCTCTTGTTTGCATGTCGGACCAGCTGTCTGTTTGCCCCAATGGGATAATCTGTCTAGCTTGCAGACTGGTCTTTCATGCACACCTGACCTGCTCCAGAGAGATCTGACTGCTGCTAAAATAATTGTAAAGGTGGATTACAGTTTAGTCATCCTTGCTTCAGAGACATTTTAGCTGTGTTAAACTGTTAGTGTCATTGACCTTAATGGTATCCTAGTTGTTTATTCTGGTAGTCTGGGAATCACCTGAACTTTCCAAATTCATGTAGGCAAGCCTTATAAAACCATGGGGTTTTGAGATCTTTGCCTTTCCTTGCTATATTCACCCAGACTTACATCTTCTCATTAGATTACTATTGCTACCCTTCTGGCTTTTATGATGTCCATCTCCTATTTAAAGTGCTGGTGCTGATGATACTTTCTGGCACATCGTGCTCTCTGTGTTGGCTTTCTATAGGTTTCTCAGCTGTATTTATCTTTTATTCCATTGAATTCAGGTTTCTTGTATCATAAGGCCTTTCACAGTTCTCTCTGTTCCTGCTTGTTATTTCGTTTCTTACTGAATTTTACCATTCTGTTTGTCTGCTTCCTGTGTTCTTGAATTTGTTTCCTTCCTCATAGGCGCTATGTGATTTCTGAGTTAATGTTTAAAGCCACAAGCTAATCTGTGTGTAAAGTTCCTGGAAACAAAGCTTGTTAGTAGCATTATATGGGAGGTAGTCATAGTCTGAAGGTAAATGTTTTCTATAACCTGGATGTTGTGACCACAATTTGAACACAAGAACCTGTAGTTCTGCAACTTTGTTGTTTTCTTCTGTTCATTTGTTAACCATGCCTGTTGGTTATGTCTTGTTTTGCAAGCTCTTTGGTAAAGGTAGCATGTGCTGCAATACAAGCTTGGGCAGAGTAGTTCAGATTTGACTGGAATCTCTTGGTACCATAATAATAATACAAAATTTTTTTTTTTTCTCTGTTGTTATAAATGCACCCAGGCAAGAGAGTGACAGAGATTGCTTCCAAGGAAGATTCAGAGCAAGTTATTTATTGCTGGGTAGCATTATTTGTGTCAAATGTAGTTTTATGGTGAGGGAAGACCTGGTAGTGCCTTAAAAGAATGTTAAATGTTAGTGTTTGAACTACTGTAAGGGTTGATGTAGTGCTTTAGAAACAAATCTACACACCCCCCTTCTTAAGGTTGGTTAATTTATTTCCCTATTCTCTTTGGTTTGTGCAGTTAGGACAGTGTGGTTAGCTGCTGGCTGTGTTTGGCCATTTGAGGATTTTCTAATCCCAGGATATGAAACTTTCCTCTGGGATGAAACTGAACTGTAGGTGATTTCTGTGTTTTGTCCTTGCGCCTGTGTGGCAGAGATAGAGGAGCGATACAGTCATACCGTGGCATTTTGTGGGGCTTTTGGGTTCTTGCCAGTTGGTGTAGATTGAGCACTCTGTGTGTGTGACTGTAGTCTGTGCTTTAGCTGCAGCTAAGCTAGGGAAAAAATGGTTGTGGATGGATCAAACAGTCTTGCACTGAGCAGAGAAAGATGAGTGATGTAGGTTTGTAAAGGCTGTTTACAGCTCTGGTCTCCCAGTTTGCTGGGGGCGGTTCTGCTGCTGCAGTTACATTAGGCCTCACTGATTTCACAGGGGTTTTGTTGAAGTGAGTGCTTGGGCCTTGAGTTCCTGGCTTCCTGAAAACAACTCTTGTACCAGTTCATTACCTGCCAGGTGGCACGTGATCCCACCTTGAGCTTATGATAGAATTGTAATGTTGGTGATGTCTATGTTTGTCCTTTGCTGGCCAAATTCATGTGAAATACAGCTCTTCCAGATACAAGCAGTCTTTACAGAAAGAGGACAAATCAATCTAACAAACTCTATTCTCTGAGCCAAGACTGAGGCAGTGCGGGGGAGGTGCGTGTAAGGCACAGTAACGTGTGTAGTAGTATTTCTTTACTGTATTTTGGTATGTGGGGACTCTTGTCAATATTTTTGGTATAATCTGTTAAAAATTTTGTTTCCTTTAAACAGGACTAGAAGAATAAAGAGAAGTTTAATTCATGAGAACAATAGGAGAGCTTACAACAGTTTGGAATGGATTGATTTATGATACCTCTGATATGTGAGAGCTACATTTTGTGTTGCTGTTGGCCGGCTGCTGGTGGTGGACTTCAGCTGACTTCACTGCAGCAAGCCCAACAGATAGGTCCTCATCGCTAATAGAACATAAACAAGTGTGATGCTGAAATGAGATGAGGCTCCGAAATGGAACTGTGGCCACCGTGTTAGTTTTCATCACTACTTTCCTCAGTTTGTCCTGGTATACTGCATGGCAAAATGGGAAAGGTAAGTAAAAGGCTCCAAAACCAAATTGACCTTCATGAGCCTGTATGGTTGTGCACTGCTGCTATATGTTAGTAATCTGTAAATTGTTGACTAGCTCTGCTCCAAAAAATATTGCCTTGGTGAGGAATGAACACTCACTAGTAGATTCAGGAAAATCAGCTTGGAGCCATTGTGATTTTAAAAAGGGGAAAAAAAAAAATGTACCTGAGGAAAACCATATGCTGCCCTTGGAGGAAGGGGTTGCTCAAAGCTAAATAGTTACGATTTGGTTGGTTTTGTTTGTGGTTTTGTTGGTTGCTTTTTGTTTGGTTGGTTGTTGTTTTTTTCTTTTTTTTTTCCTGGTTTCTGGTTGTTGGAAGAACATATTGTCTGGTTGTTGTTTTTCTTTTTTTGTTATTTTGTATTTTTATTTTATTTCCATGTAAATATGGGCAATGGACCTGGCTGGAGAATGTTATTTTTGGTGCTGCTTTCTGTCTTCCCTGATGATTCGGTGATGGCAGTAGCAAACTGCCAGTCAAGATTGTGGAAAGACTTTTCTTGCTGTCTTTGAATGACATATAAAATATTTCTTGTCAGACCATGATATAAGAAACAAAGTAATATGAGCAAATTGACCAGGTAATGGGAAATATCTATTATAACAACATGACCAATCTCATTAAATAATCAAGTAGCTTTCGTATATAATATACTTTTACCTTCTTAAATATCTTAGTTTATCTTACTGCACTCCATGTGAGCCTTCAAAAATTCAGTTTTTCTGAGGGTCAGGGCTGTTTACTTGCAGTAAGATATTTTGGTTTTGTCCATTAGTAAAGCAAATAAACTTTTTCAGTAATGGTTTCTAGGAGAAGAAAGATTTGGGGGTTTGGGGTTTTTTTTCTTTATAAAAATCTGATCTCTTGAAAAATGGTAGACTATGTCCTTCTAAGATCAAGTAATTTTAAAACACATTCTGTCTGCAGTGAGATTGCTACATGGTTTATTCTGACTGTTGTGCTGAGGGTATTATCTTCAGTTGTGCCTCAGGTCCAATAAGAAGCTGAGGTTCTCCAGGAATATTGTCTGTTGTAGCACAGGCAAATTGTAACCCTTATTTAAGTATAAAAGAAGCAGATGAGTTCTGTGGCATATTGAATTGTTGTTGAGTTTTGGTATTTCTTTCTTTCCCCATTGGGCACTTGCAGGAGAAGCAGATGCTCTGTGGTGTGATCTCTGTTGTAGCAGTTGGTTGGTAGGCTAGCCTTCTGAGTGTAAGCAGCAGGAAAAATGTCAGGTTCTCAAGGTTGTGGTAATATATAGATCTTTTAATTGGAAAACAAAACTGTAGACGTGCCAAAGACTGCCAAGAAAAGGATATCTGAATAGCACTCTAAGTAGTATTTTCTCCATTTTGACTAATGTCACATTCTCTAGTTTCGTTTTATGTTACTGATTTATTTCTTGCTGAAGAACCTCACAAGAATTTTGTTTTCACTTCAGCAAAGATACATGTTTATGAACTTTAATATTTTTTTTCTTTCTTTCTTGACATGTGATTTACAAATCTTTTTCTCTTTTGTCAAAGCATAACACAAAGAAAAGTCTTCATTAAAAGAAAGTAACAAAAATCTGCTCTTTGGAAAGCACTAGTATGTACAGCACTTACACAGTTTAAGTTTTTGTTGGTCAGACTGCTCTGTAAATTTTTGTTTTCCTATCTGAATGCTTAGAATCAATACTTTTTAAATGGTAGTATGAAGGTTCTGCGTTTATCTTCCAGGTCTTCCTGGTGAGCATTAGGATGGTAATCTGTTAAATAAAAATCAGTGTAACGAGACATCAGTAATGTGTTAATCATAAATCATAGTTATGAAACTACAGTCTGGATAACTTGCTCTTAAGATGTTGCTTCAGGAGAAATTTGTCCATAGAACATTGGTTTTTATTTTACTTTTTAACTGACATTTAGCATTTTATTAATTTGAACAGGTTGTCTAAAACCAAAACAGATTTGAGTTCATTCAGTACCATGTTTTCAGAGACATTTCTGCACCAATAGAAAAGATTCGGAAACTGATGATATGTATTATTTATTCCAGCTTGATATAATTCTGTATTTAGTAAGCCTTGCATGATGGTACCTTAATTCATTGATAACATTCTAATTACAAATTTTCGAGTGGCTCAATTAGAAGCAAATATAGCACTTGCCAGTCCAATTCATTGAGAGGCTATGGGATGTCACATATTCTGCTCATCATCTTTTGTTATTTTTTACACTTATATGGCATGCACTTGAGTCCTGTAGGTATTTGTCAGTCTTTGGACAGCAAAATAAACCAACACTTGTAAAGAAAATACTATTTACATTATTCTTCTCAGTCATAAGTAGAACAAATTTTGCTTTTTAAAAGCAGAAGCATAGTGACTTGTTTCTAACAACCCTAATCCAGTATTTGAGTGATTAATTGAGAAACTAGGGTCTTGGATAATTTTCACTTAAAATGCAGAATCGTTTGTAGAATAACAATAACACTGGGATCATGTGATGTTTTTGTAGATCATGTCTTCTAGTAAATACACCTTGTCCCAGTCTGTGCAGGATAGGATTTAGACACTTGAAAATGATACGGGCTTTGGTACTAGTTTAAAGTGCTAAAATTTGTCCCTGCAGGACAGTGCTTTAAAAATCTTAAGGATATCCTGAAAAGTTGTCAGGAGCTGAAGGCAATACTCTGTCTGAAGTGCCATCACTGGAAACAGCATGACTTTAGCTTACCTGGCAGTCTGATTATGTAAATAACTTTTCACAGAGCAGATGGTGCTCTTTGGATTAAATGGCCAGTTAACTGAGTTTGAAGAAGGTTGACTGAAATACCTCTGGTCATTCAGAGTCTTCAGGTGTAGTTCTTTGTCACTTTCTGGGCCCTATGCAATGTCTAGAAGCACTGGAGTTGTGAGGAAGCAGTACAAGCCCTGAATACACCTGTGAGAGGCCTCTCCTGTGTGATCCATGTGCAAGAGTTGTGGGTGAGACTGCTTGCGAGGAGTTAAAAATGTGCTATAGTTAGCACAAACGAAGTAGATGTTAGAAATCGAATCTTGCCAAAATTACTTTGGTGCACAGAAGGACCACTTTTAAAGGATCTGCAGTCACTGTGCATTCACAGTCAGTTCAGTGTAAGTTGTCCTTGAATGGCTCCAAAGTCTGAGCTCTTATGCAAGTGCCAACTTTATGCTTAACTCTATCTCCTTTGACTGAATAATGCTTTCTGGTACTACAGACCTGCTCAGGATCACAGGTCTTCACCACCTCATTTGTGAGCAACAGAAATGCAGCATTTTTTTATCCTTAAGGCACTGCTCTTAAGCAGATCTAAGCAATACGAAACAGTACTGTATACCCATTACACCAGTCACAAAAATTACATCAAAGATGTTGCACACTATGTAGAGAGCATAGTCTTGATGCTTTGATCTTTAATGTGATTAGTGGTCTGAGTAAATAATATTCCAGGAAGAGCATTATGCTCTGTGGTGCTCAAGAGCCTCCTCTTCTTAGGTCAACAAACCTCCTGATGCCTATTACCAGCATAGAAAGGAAGGTAAGTAACTTTACTGGGTTAGGGAAGGTGTGGTACAATGAAATGCCTTAGCAAAGCATTCATCAACCTCGTTACTTTGCTTCCCCTGCTTTGCTTTCTACTCTGGTGCTTGCCACCCCTACACGCATTTGTTGGTTTTTTTTGTTTTTTGCGTAGAGCTTGTGTTACTTTGTTCTTGGTGAAAGATATTGGTTGCCAGTGTCTTGCATCATTTTTAGAAGGCTTTTGGCTATTTGAAGTGCTGAGGAAACATATGGAATATATATAGTGAAAATCTGATGCAACTTAACCCTTCAGGATTGTCTAAGCCATGTAGTTTTCAGAGCAATCTGAAACTAGTTGTGTATATCATCTTTTTTCCCCATGTAAAACATACTTTGTTTTAATGATGAAGAATTGGTTGAAAAAACTTCTGTTTTTCAATTCATCCAAGGGTGGTGGTGCAACTGTAGGATCTCTTCACTGTATGAGGATGACTTAGTTTGGTACACTGATTTAAATTCACATTGGAAGACCTCTGAAAGGGCTTTAACTTTTGAGATACTAAACTAACTTCATAGTTTGCTGAATATTCACTCATATTTAAGTAACGATGGTTAGAGCTACTGTTTTGTGTTAAGCATGACATTTTCTCTCATTTGGAAAGAAAATGATCTGGGCTGTAAAATAAAACTGTTGTCTTTTCTTCTTCTCTGGCTGCTTTCATAAAATTTGAAGTACCATACTCTTTCTCAGCCACAAGAATCACAAGTGCTGAAAAATATCTACACAAGCATAAGAAAACCTGAGACTAAACCAAAAAGCCTCAGCCAATGGCAGAAAATCCTGGAGTAAGAACCAGGAGGTGATTCTCCTCCTTCTGCTGGAGAGAGAACTGTCTTGCAGAACTATGGAGGGAACAGGGCAAGGAGGACAGGAGATATACATATACATAGATATAGATATTAATTCCCTCCCTGGCAGCAGTTATGCAAATATTCTCTTTAAAAATATAAATGTTGATTGCAGTCTTCTGGCTGCATGTTCTGATTTTCAGAGTTATGTGCTGATTTCCCGCTGATAAGAATTAAGACCCACCAACCAAAAAAATTAAATGGACTACAAACCGGGAATAGTGGAGGCAAAGGAAGGGAGGATCTGGTGTGGGGTGCTGAAGCAGAAATACATATAGCAAGTTATGCCAGTTTGTTTGCAGAAGAAAGGTGGGGGGGGGGGTTTGTTTTGTTTTGTTTTGTTTTTCTCTTTTCTGTTGAACAGGAGGGAAGCATGATTTCCTTTGGAAATTCTGTTGCAGATCTTCCAGGAGCTGAAATTAAAGGAAATAGCAGTTTCCTTTTTCTTTTTAACACCAGCACAGAAACATTGCTTTGCTCTTTATCCAAAATACACTTCAAGCTTTGTTTCCAAAAC